GACACAGACACAGAGAGACAGACAGACAGACAGACAGACAGAGACACAGACAGACAGACAGACAGAGACACAGACTGACAGGGGGTGAAAAAGCCTCCCATATTTTGTGAAAGCGGACCTTTCAACTCTTCTTGCACTCTGGTCTAGGTGTTGTAGACTGCTGATCATCGTCGCAGCATGCTTTGCGGCTGTGCAGGACTGTCGAAACTGGCCGAAGACAGCTACACGAGGAGAGGGAGAAGCTCATCTTGGAGTTTGAGGCTTCAGCTGTGCGTCTTCGGCACATCAGCAGTTGCCAGACCTGTCGCATTTGCCGCGCAGGCCTCCCGTGTCCAACTGCATACTGAGTACTCGCACAGGCTTCTTCAAGCAGATGAGGCCTTGAAGTGTTTTGAACGGGATATAGTGTTGGACCTACATGGCGTTTTGCATTTCCCAGGACCTCCACTCCGTGCAGGAGGAGCGCTCCTCCCGACGTGAAGCCTCGTCTGTGAACTTGCACGAGATTGTCGACCTTAACGTGAAGACCCCGCTTTTTCACAACAGTATTGACATGCACCATCCTACCAGTATGCCGCCGCGCTTGTCATTCACGTTCATTCACTCTCACACTAAGGTTGGGGGCAAAACGTACACGGTGAAGCGTGAGACGCTGTGTGTTTGCCGGGGGTCCTTCCTGGCCGAGCTGTTTTCTGGGCGCTGGGACCGGCTTCTCCAGAAGGACGAAAAGGGTCAGTTCTTCTTGGACATCGATCCGACAGTCTTTGACATCGTGCTGGCTTGGCTGCGGGACTGCAAGATCGAGAGCCCGACGCGGCCCGCGTCGTGTCCGACCGTCCCTGAGGAGCACATACAGCACTTTCAGGCAGGGGATGCTCGAACAGACTCTGCTTCAATGTCAACTTTCAGTGTGGGCCTAGGCTGCAGTGGATTATTTGGGCCTGCGGCCTTTTCTCGCCGTTGGCGGCCTGGGACCCAACGGTTGGGCCTCGAGCTCTGCCATGCCGGAGGCTAGTAAGTGGGACAACTAAAAAGGGAGAGCGTTCGCTCGGATGCGCCCTGTCAGGCGCCTTTGAGAGATGGAGCTCCACGCCCCCCGGGAAGCTTCCTGAAGGCCGCAGGCAGGAGCTTTCGCAGCGCAGCATTGCACCAAGATGGAGACATCGCCGTCAGGTTCTTTGAGCTCCTTCTTGTCCTCTTGGCGATCTTCGGGCTCCGAACCTCTCGTCCGAGCAAGTGAGGTGAGCTGGGCACAGCCAGCATCCTAGGTCTGATAGACACGAAGATACAACGGCGGGCAACCGGCTTGATAGGAGTATATGTGAGTTTAGTGACAATCAAGAATTGCCAGGCGCAAGCCTTGCAAACTTCGAGTGCTGCATCAGAGCCGACGGTGCCTTCGAAGGTCGTGGGTTGGCGCCTGACTTACACGCAACTGCGAAAGAATGCTGCAACAAGACTTCTCTGAGCTTCCGCAGATGTGGACTGTCGCATATGGGTCGTGTGAGGTCACAGCGGAACTCAGACCCCGCAGTCTGCAGGAGGGATGAGGAGGTCGGGATGGTGTCGGTGTAGGACAGTGTAGGATGTATGTTCCCAGGATAGCTCTTACCGGAATGGAGTCAGCTTGAATCTTGATTGTAAGACAGGTGACGCTGGCTCTCATCCCAGAGACACGTGGCTCTGCTACGGCCCGTGCGACTCGCGGCTTCCAGAGCGGCCAGCACTGCTTCGGAGTGAATCCCTGCAGAAACACATCGAAGGTGATTTGCGGACCTGTTTCGTCTAAGTCGACACGTAGATGATTAGGATTTCTAGTCGGGTTCTGGGTGAGACTGGTGGATCCTTTAAGAGTGGCTTTATATTTCGTGGGGATGCCAGTAAAGAAAATGTTTCGTGCCAAAGTTAATGCCGCTCCTGTTGCAACATGGTCAGGAAAGTCGTCATGGGCGCTGAAAGTTTCGTTGGTCTCGTATCTCCGCAGTGGACTGGGGCTTCGTGAAGTTCAGGAGACAGGCGACGGATGGAGAGCGCAGTGCTTGGCAGGAGCGCAGCGGCAGCTGCAGCGTTGCCGTTGGGTCGGGCACTACACTCATGGGCCATAGCCTCCGATGGCAGCGTTTGGGTGGCAGGGAGGCCGCGGAAGGGAGATGAAGCAGTCCCCAAACAGGACGGTAACACTATGTCGCTATGCGGTTGATGCGTTTCGGGTGAGCGAGGTGCGCAAGGCTGGCATGCATGGAGATTGCACGGCTCCCGCCGTGACGTACATACTTTCACGTCTGTCTTCGCCACGTCCCAGATTCATTTTCCCTTCAAATCGAATCGAAGTCTCTAGGGAGTTCTGGGTCCTCGGACAATCCTGCCGTTGAACGGGACGGGATATCGATAATTTCCGCCGTCGTGCTCCGTCCCACCACAGTTTCGCGCGCTTTTTCGTACAGATGTGCTCGTTGTAGGGGTTGCAGGGGCGCATAGAATCAATGGTTTCGAGTGTGGATGGTGGGGGCTTGGACGGGGTCTACTACTAGGTCTCTTCCGCTTTGTGGCTTCCTTGGCATTGCGAAGTGATGACATGCTGCCTGTGCCTGCAAGGGAGCTGGAACGCCTCCCGGTGGCTTTCGCAGAAGGGAGCTGCATTGCCTTCGTTCTCACGTGCCTTGCAACGAGACAGAGAAACTGCTTTTATCCTCCCTATATGGCCTGCAGTATGTCTGTAGACCGGAGGCTGCCGGCAGTGGGACTACGGACGGCCACCGTGTATATTGACGGTCAGCCTTTCGAGAGCCTTTCTTCAAGAACCGTGTCCGAAACCATGGTCCATGTTGCCGCTTCTTCTTTGCCTTCCTTTCCCAAGGAAAGTCTTCACGGATCTGCCGGACACGGTGCAGCACGACTGATATCACACCGCCTATTGACTGCTACCGCAGCATGTCTTTGACGGCTGCCGAGGTATCCGGCAGCATCAAATCTGAGATTGCCAGCCCAGTTTCGACTTCAGTGCGATCTTTTTTTGGAGGCCTTGGAGAACTTCTGTTTGCATGCGAGGGAATCTGACTGTTTTCTTGTCTTAATGCGGCTGACTGTGCGCCGAGTGCTGCACCTCAGAGGACCTCATCCAATCCAATGCTGTGGAAGCCTCACCACCGGCCGAGTGACAAAAGTGGAGCAGCATGGAGCGCGGCAGTGTGGCAGATCATGCTAGGCTGCAGTACATCTTCCAGCAAGCGATTGCGCAGTAGGGGTGCTCCTGGTGGCTATGTTTGGTACAGCATCTCAAGAGATATGCGAGACAGGGGGAGCATTTCCGTGTACATCCCACCAGAGCATGAGATATCTAGTTTCATAGTTCTCGATGCAAAGCGCAGAGAAGAAGGGAGACGGCAACTCAGACACCGATGGCCCGCGAACTCTGCGAACTGGAGGAGGGAGCAGCCAGGGTGTTTGATCCCAAAGACGAGGAGGGTTATTCCGAGTACTTTCGCTTCTCCGTTGCGCAGAGACTTTCTAGGCCGGGCTGGATGTAGTTGGGCTGTTGGGTTTGTTCAGCCTGTGAGCTGAGGCGAGCATGGCTTCGTCGTAGTTCGTGACGTGCTAGAGCTCAAGCAAGTTCAGGCCACGATCGAGGAGATTTGGGCAAGCCCCAGCCTTCTAGGAGGGCGTGTGGACCCCGAAGATCCAGACACGTGGAGCGATGGCTGGCCAGTTGGATGCCGGAACTTCTTGGACCCCTTAGAGCCTTGCTCGGAGGTTGAAACTTGGCGCAACCGCGTGAATCCTGCCGTGAACCGCGTGTTCGACGTGCTCTGGGAGGGTTTGCCAGAACTCGATAGCGACGAGGCCCAGCAAGATCTTCCCATGGGTGAAGTGAAGCAGGCTCACCTTTCGAGATGTTTCGAGCATGAGCTTCTGTCAGGAAGGTGCCAGCGTGGAGGGAGGTAGCCTCGTCATGTCCGTGGACCGCATTGGCGTGATGCGCCCCACCAAGTTGTGCAAAGCCACGACAGACGGGCAGATGTGGGTGGAAAGGCCGGGACCGGCCAACATGGATGCGAGTGGAGCGGGCGGCGGGCTCTGGAAACATGTTTCGAGGCCGGAGTGGAGAACGAGCCGGAACTGGCTGCACTGGGATCAGAATCCATGGCTACTCAGTGGCAAGGAGCCGTCATTGTCACTTCTGGTAGTATCCAGTCTGGCAGGGTCATACTGCCATACTGCCCTCTTGGTGTGCTTGAGTTGGATTTGACATTTGCGGCATCAGAATTGAAAGGGTGCGATTCAACACGACATTGTTTTGAGAAAGACGCACGGTTGGTCTTGATGTGAACATCACGCCGATTCGGGCAAACAATCTTAACTTGGGGAAGGGATGGGAAGGGAGAAAGCTGGGGCTTGAACACATCTACCAGCGGCTTGAATTAAAGTAGGTTTGACTCCATCAAGACAGGCCTCGTGCGAATCCCAAGCTTCCAGCATTGAAAGATGTGCTGGTGCTTCGGATTAAGAAGAAGGAGCAGGTACTCGGACGATGTGCGCAGATGAAGATACGTTTCCGCATGGAGTGACTCGCACAGTGAAGCCCGTCGATGCTTCTAGCTTCTCATGTCTGTCCATCTTCCATGCCAGGAGGCGCCACATTCAACTGAACTTGTCAGGTGGTCTTGTTCCTTGCACCGATTCGCTTTTCAGAGGTCGTCCCCGGGATTCACGGCCGTGCAAGGGCTGCTGTGCCTCGCAGGACCCTCCACCAACTATGGTATCTTGTTGTGAACATTCAAGCAATCTGCAGCAGTGACTGTGCATGACGCCGTGACTCGAATCTTTGGTATCTGCGAGGAAGCTCTGGCAGCTCTGGCGGCTTCGTAACTGTCCCGGGCTTTCATCGAGAGTTCGCGCAATGGAGCCAGCGGCATCCGGCCGGCAGCTCCGCCTGTGAACCGAAGAATTGTGACCTGTTAACGGGAATCATAGGACGCCAACAGCTAGAGAAAGCTTCGCTGCTTCAGACCTGGCACTGAAACGGCTCATTTACTTACTGGTGAGCTTTGCTGGCAGTGTCAGGGCACACTGTTGAAAGCTGTAGGCATCTCGCACAGATTCGACACAGATGTAGTTCAGAAAATCTCAGGCAGCATTCCGAAGCGATCATCCACGATGATACCCTTTCCCGTTCCCGTTGAGGATGAGATGCAGGCCGAGTGGGTTGCAGATAGCTTAATTACGACTTTTTAAAAGCGGATGCGCCTATCGTATTGTGAAATGCCCCTGTCTTTTGTATCATTGTAGAATATTGTAGAAGAAGCCATGTTGACCTCCGTAGATCAGCAAACATGTCTGCTGTGCTTTGTGTAGGATCATAGATGCACTAGCATGACACGGTGCAGCCCGAAAATGGCGAGCGTTTTCCGTGCAAAAACTCCGGAAGCCGACATTCGTTCCAAATTGGTAGCGGGGCGGTCGGATTACAGCGCTGGTGTTTCACCAGCAGTCCGTAGAGTAGAGCCGTTGCCGTGTTAGGCGACGAATATGCTGAAGTTGTGCAGCTGACAGGTCAAGGTAAGGGTAAGGACAACAGCAAAACTGGTGGAAAGTCATCAGGTCCGATCTCACCATAAGGCTCGCGGTCGATGCTGGGCCATTGGGCCGGGGATGCAGAGTGTAGGTTTAAGGGCAACGCAGCTCCTTTCCCGAAACCAGCAGCGGCCCCGGACATCTAGGCCCCTTTGCCAAAAGCCTCCCTAGATGCGGGTGAGGACGACGAAGTGGTTTACCTCATAATTCCTACACGAGCATGGAGGGTTACCCAGCCGTTAAGGGCACTTCAGTTAAGAGCAGTTCAGTGAGCAATTCCGGCGCAGGCAAAGGCAGGGGAGCTATGTCCCCGCAATTTCGTAGTTTTGCAGTTTCCGCTATAATGCGTGACGGTCCCCCTCCTGGGAGCAAGACGGTGTTCAGTTTTGGCCAGCAAAAGGATTTGACCTACGAAAGCGTACTCTACACTTACCCGGGTTATGTCCTTTGGGGCAAGCACGAAAAATTCCCTTCGAAGCTCCTGCGAGGAATTTTCTGAATTGAGTTCACGAATAGTTCGTTGTGGATTCGGACCCGATTGAGATAGCCCGTAGGGAGCATCCTCCCAGTCGCATGCCCCCGGCCCCGTCGTGAACCCGAACAGCCATCGACATCGTCCGGTGCGAGGTCACTCTTCCAGGCGCCATGCCAGGGTGGTTGCAAAGAGTCCAGCAAATCAGGGAGTAACGCATACATCGATGTGCGGACATGCAAGAATTGGCACGGTTACTAAGACCAAGCAAGAGAAGCCGGTAGTTGACCTCGCCACATGTAGCATAGTGCTACTGAGAGATCTGGATCTAGTAGGAAGACAAGCAGATTGAAATGCAAGCTTTGCGGGATGCTTCTAGATGAACAACCGCAAGAGCAAAGGAAGGCCCGTTCTGACATAGCATCAGTGGTGAAAGAGTCCAACACGATTCGATTTCGATCTTGTGCGCTCCATAATGAGTCGTACAAGCGAAGACCTACCTGTAGAAGTCGGTTCCAGCACTTGAACAGTTTCGCGAGACGGTCGAGGGGAACTTTGTCACCGAACCCTCTAATACGAGGGGCGACCTGATGGCTATCTACAAGAAGCTCTGAGGACCACGAGCAGAGCTCCGTCAACTCCAGTTGGGAGGTGGCTTCGACTGCGAGATCACGATCTTCGAGGCACGCCTATATTGCTCTTATGTCGGAAGGTGATACGGACACGAGCCCGGCACTAGCCGCTTTGCCCGTAGTAGATATTTACACTTAGGAGGGAGTTCATGCAGTTCTTGACGAGAGCTGTAACTCAACGGTGCACGGCGCCGAGTGGATCAACAACGCCGCTCAAAACTTTGCTAAGATAGGGTTTAGCACGAGATTTTCCCCAAAGGGTTCCGCCACATTTAAGGGACTTAGTGGAGCCACGGAAATGCTAGGATCCCGAACCATCCCGTTCTCTATAAGGGGAATAGACGGCGAGACTCGAGTCCCAGGGGTCCTAGACTCACACGAGATAAAAGGCACAGCCCCGCTCTGACTGTCGCTATATGCACAGGCCCAGCTAGGGATATGCAACTGTCTTCGTACGAACCTATACGGTGTACGTACGTCTTCCAACAATACCCTGATGTCACTTAGCCTGTATACTGTATACTTAGTCTTTGGAAACAGAAATTGCGTTTAACGCACGTCACTACATGGCAATAGAGCAAGTAGATCAGGACCGAGTAGAGCCCGAGCATTCAAACAGACCCGCAATATCGATCCCGTCGAGTGCTGAAACGTATAGAGGCTTTCACGAGTCTCGCAACGACATGCCTCCGCTGCCGACAATTAATCACTGCTGAAGGCACCGGCCACTTTAAGCGCCGTTGAACCAGGACATAGCTCCTGTGTTGCCTGGTCCTTGGTCCGAAGAATCCCAATCGACGTCTTCACGCACTGCTACGAGTAGAACTCGACAGTTCCGAATCAACAACCCGAAGCCACCTGGCAAGGGACTGAGATGAGATAGAGCGCGCCTTCCGAGAATTTGATGTTACGGGCGTGGAGTTGTCATCCGACATAGCTTTCGAAATAAAATAGGCGTGTCAACTTTGGAGCATTCCCCGATGGTTTGCTCACCCAGATCTATATAACGTTCTGGGAGAACGCGCAGCGCCCGCACTTTGGCTAGGGCCAGATGCCCCGAGAAACCTTCAGGAAGGAGACAGGGCGCATCATGAATTGCGCGAAAGGCACGATAGAAAACGTCACATGCCCCCAACCCTATAGGCCATTTGATTTGTGTAGTCGTACTGACCCAGAGAGGTTGGGCAATGTGCCATGGTGCTAATTATGAAGGCACAGTGCATCCAAGCGGCACGCCCAGGACATCGACTCCCCCCTCAGAGGGAGGAGCCTACGTGGTACCTTGGCAGCACCCACCTTCGGTGGAGTGTCAGAGGACACTTCTGAAGAATGGGTTGCTGTTGAGTGGCCTAACTACAACGTTAACGTCGAAGGGAACTGCGTTTCAGCTTCAGAGTCTCAGACAGCGCCGGTGCCTCCAGTGTGCCCGCAAGCCCAAGCAACATAGGTTCTGGTGTTCCCCACAACCAAAACGGAGACCTCCGGACACTCAGCAGCAGCCAACGAAAGCGTGTTCTCCGTGGCCTTCACGAGTTGGTTGCAGGGATCAAGTAGTTAGGAGTATCGCCTATAGTGCTGCTATGCACGAGTCCAGGCACCTCATATAGCCTGTACGCGCGACAATCCTCTCGTTCCTTGTGAATGGACTCCGGATACCTATGCTCATCGGGCTTAATAGGGGTCCCCTATCCGGAGGCCGGGTTCGTTGAGGGTTTAGGGTAAAACATATGATTTTCAGGACAAGGACTCGTTGTGTTCCGTTTCCAACGCAAATCATTGGTTCTGAGATTTGCTAAACTCTCTTGATGTAAAATCCACAATATTGTTACTTTTCCCGAAACCTAACGTAACAACATGCTTTTTGTACTAATTTAGGACTCCTTTGTAATTATTGGTTCCCATGTGATTCCATGCTTGTTGTGATTTTTCTGGTTCGAAACAACATGTCACATGTGAGTCTGGAACTATGGAGTTTTGACATGTCACAACAATTTTTTGGCATCGCTGCCCATGGATGATCTGGAGCCGGATTTTGGGCCACTCCCACAGGGCAAACCAAAGAAAAGAAAGGCTTCAGAAGGTTTGACGACTAAGAGCGGCCAAGTGCTTTTGATTTTCTCGCGACCTGAGAAAGGCCAAGAGGGCCTTGACGAGGTGCGGTTTGATGGGTCCTTGTGCGTGCAGTCAAGCACAGGAAAGTCTGTGTCTGAGGAGCAACTGCAAAATGATTGGCTTCGGAGTTTCCAGGCCGCTCGTGCAAGGTGGAACCCGAAGCAAAGGAAGCAAAATGCTGATCCTAAGAGCAGCTTATAGGCCACCTCCTTCATATGGGCGCTTTCTGCGCAGAGTTTTCGACCTGAAGGCTGAAGCAGAATATGTTTTTGGCAAAGCTTCTTTTGTTGGGCAACAGTTTCAGCCTGTGGGATCTTTTGCCAACGTAGGCTTGGTGAACAAGATTGCAGGATATTGCAGGCGTAGCTGTGGATTTTGCTGATGGCACAAGTCACAGGAAGGCACGTTTCGGGATATTTGCGAAAGTGTGCAATGCAGCACAGCAGCAGGGCAGGTGAGGTGTGTGATTATTCCTCGCGGCAGTGCTGACCTTGCTCTGTCTTCTGACCCACTGGATGGGCTTCTCTTGCCAGAAAACTATGCCAAGAAATTGCAAATCAATGTTTCTGGCCAGCTCGAGTTTCAGGAAAAGACAAAGGCGTTGCCTGCACACATGGTGAAGGCAACAAGCCTGTCTGGGGTTCGGGTGCCTCAAGTGCCTCACCATGACATACTTCTGAGTGTGTTCTTTGGCGCTTTAGGCCATTATTGCCAGAACTTAGGCGACATTAGTTAGTTCCATTGTTCAGCTTGTTGGAGATATGTTGCTGCCAGCACTTTCGCTGAATGTTCTCCAAGATATCCGGGTGCCCAACCATAATGTTGTTGGCTTCTTCCTGACAAAGCTTGATTTGCTGCACACGTTGAGCCGGCGATTTTTCCCCAGAGCTGGCAACCCTGAGATCAGGCGAGCCCGGTACTTGGCTTCAGACAGTTCGCCGCAAGGAGGGTACGACTATTTTGCGATAACAGAAGAGGTCATCAGCAGACCGAAAGATCCACAAGCTTGGGCGCCTGAGTCCGAAGACTTCAATTCCTTTGGCGGGTTTGAGTGGGAAAGGAGAACAATGCCCTTGACAACCCTGGCCCGAGGCCATGGCAACAGCAGCATGAAATTCAGTCGGATGCTGCATGCCATCATCCAGGAGCAGGGCACCGAGGGCATTGCCGCTTATCGGCAAGAGGTCAAAGGGTACCTCAGTGACCAGGGGACTGAGAAGCATTTGTTCTCTTATCCGTTCTGTGAGAAACAAACACTCAATGGGTTGGCCAAAGGCCTCCTGGATGGTAACACCTCTTTAGCAGATGTTGCAGAGGTGCCTTGCTTTTACAATGCTTTGGGCTGCCCAGGTGTGCTGCACATTCTTTTCAATGCACTGGAAGATGCTCTCAAGATGTGTGACGATTGGAAACCATTCGAGACTGAGCTGCGAGCTGTCAGCAAG